TTTTTTCATCAGCTCTTCACCTTGTTGTCCCAGCTGAGGATTGTTGTTTTATATTTTGCACTGCTGTACATGTACTGCCAAGTTTTTGCCCTCATGCTTAATTTTTCTATATCTTTGTGCATTCTCTTTGTGTCATCCTCACCATTTGCTTTCCCACCTATTTTTGTGTCATCCACAAACATGACTCTAGCACATTCACTTTCCTCATCCAAGTCATTATTACATCTTGTAAATAATTGTGGCCCCAGCACTGATCTCATATGGTATTAGACAATAAGAAATTTGCCCTTTGAGCCTGTTCTGCTTGATTACATGTCCCACTAGGTACAAGTTACCATCCCTAAAATGCTCCTCTTATACCAACTCACTGTCTTCTACTCGTTGGCCAATCGTCTACCTTTGAGAACATGATGGGTTCTTACTGACTAACCCAATGTGTGACACCTAATCCAGTCTTTTTAGGAACAAAAACAGAAGTTCTGGGGAAACTCAGCAGGTCTGGGAGAATCTGTGAAGAAAATCAGAGTTAACGTTTCGGGTCCGGGACCCTTGCGGACCAAAAACTTCTGTTTTTGTTCCAGCCTTTCTAGGGCTTGTTTCCGGACGCTTACGTCTATTCATATTTTTCCTTAACATTCGAAGTGCAGAATCACGCAAAGGAGTGATCTACGAAAGCATCTCTAAACGCTAAATGTAAATGCTGTTATCCTCCAGTTTCACACTGCGTTGTCTCGAACTCACTACACCCACACAGCAGGAGTCGCCGTAACTAGTTACGGACCCAGAATACAGATCTGACACTTCTTTCATAATAGCAAAAAGGAGCGCCAGGATAAGCGATCACCAGCAGCTCCGAATAGCAAAAATTGTGCTTCCGAAATCTCTTGATATCGATTCCGCACGGACAAAGCCCATAGACCTCACCCATGTGCTATTCACAGCAGAAACCCTTTTACCCGATAAGCTGTCAAGCCCGCACCTGACTGACCGTACCACACTGCTCAGTGAGGGTGACAATTAGTCACCAGTATCTAGAAGACTCCTTGGGCTCTAGAAATGGAAATTCTACAGCAACTAAATCCCTGCGAAACTCTCCAATTCTTTCCGGTATTCAGAAATTTTGCACATAAAAATCCAAATAATATATGCAAATCCCGCAAAGCATTTTGGGAGACTGCTGTCCGCCGCAGGAGCATGCCTCGGTTCAGACAGACGGGGGAGCCATGAACTAAACTTTGTAGCAAGTGGCAGGGATGGCTTCATCTCAGAGGTACATATAGCACCCCATCAAACGTCATCTCAATCACTGAAACTATAAACAGACACGAGAGAGTGCGTGTGTGAGACAGACTGCCCGTGAGCTAGAGGGAATAAGAGATTATGTTGTATGTTTCCTCCATATCTCATGTTTAATGTAATGCCAAACCTTTCTGAATTTTGCTCATCAGCTCCTTGACTGAGGAAAAATATTGAAACAAAAACAAAGTTGCTGGAAAAGCTCAGCAGGTCTGGCAGCATCTGTGGAGGAGAAAACAGAGTTAACATTTTGGGTCCAGTGACCTTTCCTCAGAACTGATGGTGGCTGGGAAAACGTCAGTTTATATGCAGAAAATAGGGAGGCGGGTGGGGTAGGGAGTAAACGGTAGGATAGAGCCCAAAGAGAAAGAAAGACAGTTGGACAGACAAAGGAGTTGCTAACAATCAGGCTGGGAGGGTGAATAGTTGTTAATGGGTACTGTTAGTGACTAACAACAGGGGGTGTGTAGTGGCAGGCTATGTGGTAACAAGGCCTGGTGGGTGGGGTGGGGGGCTGGGACATGCGAGAGTTTAGGCCCTAAAATTATTGAACTCAATATTGAGTCCGGAGGGCTGTAGGGTCCCTAAGCGGAAAATGAGGTGTTCCTCCAGCTTGCGCTGGGCTTCACTGGAACACTGTAGCAAGCCGGAGACAGAGATGTTGGCCAGGGAGCAAGGTGGTGTATTGAAGTGGCATATTGAAAAATATTGAAATATGGTTCCTCGTAAAAAGGTAGACAACCTGGGGCTGAGGATCAGAGGAGCAGAGATATTATCCAAATGTACTTAGTGTTAAAAAAATTTGAAGGATCCCATGTATGGTAAAACAAAAACGGGGCAATTGGGAGCAACACTCCCATTCCATTGCAGGTAAGTACCTGGTCATGAAACATGAAGAATTCATGATATCGCTGTACACAACATAGATCTGGTATTGTGTGCTGATCATAAAATCATAACATGTTAAGAAGCAGGCGTAGGGCATTCAGCCCCTCAAGCCTGTTTCGCCATTCAAGAGATCATGGCTTATGTGATCATGGGTCTAATTTCATTTTACACCCTGCTCTCCATGATATTAACTGCTTTGTTGATGAAAGATCTAACTCATCCTTGGGCATTCAAATAACCCAGTCACCACTGCTTATTAGGTAACAGGCCCAAGATTAACAGCACTCAAAGAGGACAAACCGTAAGACCTGCAGATGCTGTAAATCAGGAACAAAATCAGAAGCTGAGGTTCTGAGGATGGGTCT